GGTGATCAAAGTATAGCTTATGTTTCTTGACTTATAAAGCTAGTTGCTGGTTATGAAAGATTGCTGGTGAACTAGCATGTTCTGGGATCGAAGTTCGTGTTTAGGAAGTCCTGTTGCCCATTTATATGGTATGCTGAGCAGTTCAATCTTGTGTGATCATGTTTTTGTTTAACAATAGACACACCTTTAGGCTTATAGGACTGCTAGTGTTTCCTTATATTGGCTGTACTCTTGGAAATAGACGTTTGTAGTCGATTTTATTTCCATCTATTATAAAGGCTTTCTTGATGGCGAATTCTCTAGTACCTGAGTATATTTTTAGGGAAGTTACCTTTGGAACAGTGGTGGACGGTTGATATTGGAGGAGGGTTAAACAATTACAAACTTTCTATGCTTTTGGTAGAATGGGGCTGGATTCAGGATAGAGTAAAAGTTACTATGTTTTATTAAATATTCATGCTATTAAAATATTTGTTCCGTCGATTAATTTGTAAGACATTTTTTTTGTTCTGGTTTTCCTTTTTCTGCACGTATGAAAAATTAGTAGAATTGTGTAATATGAAGTTTGACACGATTTCAATCGGAGATACTAGCGTTGTGAGTTATTTAATTTCTCAATTTGAAATCACGCGATTGCTTGCAATATATTTGGAATTATTTATGCATTTTCTTGCTATTTCAACCACAGATGATAGACCTATGAGTTAGTTAATTCATAGATTTGGATTCAACTGATTGCGTTTGATATATTTTGAATTATATATGATTTTTGCCATGATTTCAATTGGAGTTGGTAGTCCTATGAGTTATCAAATTCCTGGAATTGAATTGACGTGATTGCGCGAAATATAGTTTGAATTACATATGAATATTTTTGTGATTCCAATTGGACCAATGTAGGGAATGATCTCAATTCTCAACAATTTTGACACATTAGCACCAGTCTTTCTTCAATAATGCTTGTTGTACAGCTTTGGTACACAGCAACTTTCATAGCTTTTCAAATTTGCTGACGTGGAAGGTATAGGCGGAATGAAGTTGTGGAAAAAGAAGGGAAAGGCAGGTCGTTTGCTCATTATTCCATTTTACAACCTGGCCCATTTCATTTATTCCCAGTATTCAAATTCCCAAATCAATTTCAATCTCCCAAATGCAAAACCTGCGAGCCAAAATTTCTCGACAAATCTATCTCTCGCGACTGGTTCATTTTCGGTGAGAAGACGAAAAATAGTCTGAGTACTCTTTTCGAGATAGGGAGTTCGTCAAAGAACATTTGCTTTTCACTTCCGAATTTGACACTTCAATGGACCGCCTCTATCTCTACTCTAAAGGGGCAGTTCTTTGCCGAACACCACTGTTCTGAATTGTAGCTCGAATAGCAATCCCATACATATAAGAATCGTGTAGACAATAACGGGGGGTGCGCCCGGCTTTGTAGACCTCCACCTCTCTTGGCTGGGCCATTTCCGTTCACGAGTTCTTTCCCGGTTAGAATCTTCAAGATTTTATTTTTCTAGATTTGGGTTCTCTATGTGATTTCTCCATCTATGATTTTTTTTTCTTTTTTTTGTCGAAATTATTGTTATGTTATTTTTTGTGATATAAGAAATGAACAAATAGAACACCTTTCAGGAGTTTAAGAATTCCTTTTCAAATTTGAGGATTTTCAGATATATCTAGACATGTTTAAAAATCTGCCATTTGTCCTTGCTCCTTTTCTGGGATGTCGAGAAAATTCTGAAATCTTGTTTCTGAGTTTGGTTTTGAAAAGTTAGTTTTGATAATTTATTTGGGTTCAGCACGAATAGAAGATTGTTTAAAATATATATATATATATATATATATATTAGAACTTACAGGTTTAAAGAATAACAAAAGATTAACTTATCAGGTAAAATATAGCATAGATATTTGTGGTTACTTTGAAGAAGACAACATAGTAGGAACATATAGTAAATATTTAATTGAAATTTCATGTATTTTACAGGTAAGAATTGCTAGAGTTGGCAATGGCATGGAATCTATTACTAAGTCTCTTGGATGTCGCATTGGGGGAGGAAAATTAGCAGTTGCATTACTCTTGGAACTCTCAAAATGTGAATCAGTCCATGAATGCATCGGAAATGTCCAGGGCTACATACTTCTTTTGGTCACCATGTTAAGCAGTCATCAATAGGACCGTTATCCACGCCTACTAGTGAACATCAATAGGTGGTCGTATTATGTAATGCAAGTACGTAATGGTACATCCTTGCAATAGATTGAACCTATTTTAAGATGAATAATTCTATGCTTCATTGCAGCAACGGTTAGATGAATAAATTTGTGTGCAATTGTAGGTTTTGTGGTTGTGTTGGGACTCACTCGAGGTCATTTGCAGAAATCGTTAATTTTGAAACAAAAGGAGACTTGAGTGTCTTAGGAAAAACAAGTAGTTGAGAAACAAAATTGAAAGGCTGGCATTGAGATTTTTAACCTCAACTTAGCAATAATTCCAAGTATATATAAATTAAGAAAGAGGCCTTGCATCCCATAATACCATTGCAGTAAACATTAGTATACATTTTGTTTATGTCCATGACGATTACATGCTCATGTATACTTGAGAGACCATACAAACGCATTATATTCAACGGCATCCACATCCCATGAGAATGCAACATCAGACAACATTAAAGTCAAAATTCTTCTATGTAGACCTCCAGGAACTTTGAAGGAAGTGGCAAAAAGTAGACCAGCAAGGCAAAATTTAAGCTTTCTTGATCTCAACAAATTGTTCTCCCTTCTAAGCAGATGCTAAGCTACTCTTCCAAACAGGGATGCAGGCTATGATTGTTCGAGAACCAAATTCAGTTCTTGTGCACATTTTGCAACCACTCTCTCCTTCTACAGTAGAGAAAAAATAAGTCATGAAGATTCATTTTAGGAAACTTGAAACTTGGATGTAATATCAAATTTAATGCTTGTGCTTATAAAAGTCCCAAGAAACTTGAAATTTTAGTTCAATTCTTGCAACTTCGCTCTTCATGCTTCCATCTTTCTTTAATTTGGGCATTTAAATACAATCTCATGCAGAAAAATTCAAAGGTATATAACTTGAATATGACATATATTATGAATCAATTTCGTGCACATTTCGTTATGCAGGATGTTGCAGCAAACCAGTGGTCAGAACAAATACAGGACCATACTCTCTTCCATGTGATATCCAAATGGAGCAAAGGAATTCATCGCCTTATCGCATTCTCTCTTCATATTTCTGGATCACATTACTAATAGAAATGGTTCACTTGTAAGCAAAATAACGTGTTTGGTATATGCATCTCATTCGAAAACTGAAGATAGCACGCATCCCATGGTATCATATATACATTAGTAAATCCCAAACCAAAAGTCACAAACAGTACATATGAAAATTACATGATACAAAGCTGCTGCCTACATCCCAAGCATTTGTTCTTAATAGCAACTACTAACATGGCATGGTACATAATCTTACACACAGAAAAGGCTAAAGCAAATCAATTTTTAGAACCATAAAAAACATTCATAAAAAAGGAAAATCACATATGTTGCTTTCTTTTTACTTACCAAAATGAAGGAGGTCACTGGTTGTCTATTGCCGACGGAGGGGGTGTAAAGATAGTGGTACTGGTTATGCGGCAACCGGACAGTGGTTGCCTCAAAAATCACCTCAACTGGAGGGGTAGTGCTCTTGACGGGAAATTAGGCGGAGATTTCGAGGAGTACTGCCGGTGTTTTTTCGACCAGAGGTACGGTCAACGGTCGACTGGAGATTTGGAAAGGCGACTTCGCACGGCGACATGAGCATGTAATTGTGAAACAAGATTTCAGATTTTTCTCCGACATCCTAAAAAAAGAGCTAGGACAAATGGTAGATTTTTAAACATGTCTAGATATATCTGAAAATCCTCAAATTTGAAAAGGAATTCTTAAACTCCTGAAAGGTGTTCGATTTGTTCATTTCTTATATCACAAAAAATAACAAAACAATAATTCCAGCAAAAAAAAATCATAAATGGAGAAATCACATAAAGAACCCAAATCTAGAAAAATAAAATCTTGAAGATTCTAACCGAGAAAGAACTCATGAACGGAAATGGCCTAGCCGCGAGAGGTGGAGGTCTATGAAGCCGGACCGAGTACTCAGAATATTTTTTGTCTTCTCACCGGAAATGAACCAATTGCAAGAGATAGATCTGCAGGGAAATTTTGGCTCGTAGGTTTCGCATTTGGGAGATTGAAATTGATTTGGGAATCTGAATAATGGGAATAAATGAAATGGGCCGGGTCGTAAAATGGAATGACGAGCAAATGACCCGCCTTTCCCTTTTTTTCCACAACTTCATTCCGCCTATAACGTCTACGTCAGCAAATTTGAAAAGCTGTGAAAGTTGCTGTGTACCAAAGCTGTACGACAAGCATTATTGTTCTTCAATTCGTTATATTTTCCAAAAAATGGTTCAAGATCTAGTCCAACTTTTGTTCTGCTAGGTCCTCAGTATTCAAATTTGTGGTTAATATACATTTGCTTCAAGAAAAAATATTTCAATACAATTTAAATGAGTAATGTTATTTAATCTCACGGGAGAGCCTCAACGGGGGTTACAAAGCATTACTCAATTTAAGCCCCCGTTTGGTAGGATTTTTTTTACCTCAAAAAATTGATTTTTTTAACCGTTATTTTGATATTTCAGTTGTCATTTTTGACTTCTTTACTCACATATAGAAATTATTTTTCTCTCTAACGATCAAAAAATTAATTTTCATAATCACTAGTGAATAGACTCTAAGTCAAAATGTCTTTTATCTTGTTCTCGAAGTAAAGGGTAATCCAAGTCAACTTCGAGTAGCATCTCACCTACTACCTAATGTCATACGGACCATCTACTTTTACTTTGAGGGGTCAGTCAATGTTTTATTTCTTATAAAAATCGAAAAAAGTGTGCATCAGCTTATATTTATATGAGCACACCAGTTTGACAATCTCCATCTGCAAATCTGATATTTTTCATTGTCAATACAAGTGCAACAATGAATCCCCCAACTGTCAAATTTGTATCAGAATGCTTTATCAAGCCCATATACAGTTCAGAAGAGTCAAAGAAACCTGTGTATTTGGCACCATGGGATCTTATGATGCTGTCAGTGCATTACATCCAAAAGGGCCTCCTCTTTCCCAAGCCTCCAGGTTTTGATGAAAATTCACTCAAGGATCTGCTGCAAAAGCTTAAAGAGACACTCTCTCTCACTCTTGTCCATTTCTTCCCATTGGCCGGTCGCTTTGCGACTTTGCAGCAAGACGAGCCTCCTCTTTACGCCGTCTATATCGACTGTGTCAATAGTCCTGGGGCCAGATTTATTCAGGCATCGCTCAATTTGAGTGTCTCCGATATTCTGTCACCAACTGATGTTCCCCTTGTTGTTCAATCATTCTTTGATCATGACAGGGCAATCAATCATGATGGTCACAACTTGTCTTTGTTAACGATTCAAGTGACAGAACTGACTGATGGCGTATTCGTTGGATGTTCAATTAATCATGTGGTTGCTGATGGAACCTCTTTCTGGCATTTTTTCAATGCGTGGTCTGAGGTTTTCAAAGCAAAAGTTGAGAACAATTTAACCATTTCTAGGCCACCTATTCACAGCCATTGGTTTCCTGAAGGGCATGGTCCAATTCTCAATCTCCCTTTTACTCATCACGATCAATTCACCAGTAGACACGATGCACCTCTATTGAGGGAAAGAATTTTCCACATTTCTTCCGAGTCACTGGCAAAACTCAAGGGAAAAGCCAATTCTGAATCCAACAGCACCAAGATTTCGACCTTACAGGCATTGTCTGCTCATATATGGAGGTGTGTAACAAGGGCTCGGGGATTTTTACCAGACGAGAACACCAGCTGCAGAATGGCTATCAATAACAGAACGAGGTTGAATCCGCCCTTACCTAATGACTACTTTGGCAATTGCATACAGACAGTGAAAGCGACCACAACAGCTGGAGAATTGCTAAGGAACAACCTAGGATGGGCGGCTTGGCAGTTGCATCAGACCGTGATCGACCATACCGACAAGAAGGTGCTTGAGTGGGTTGATTCCTGGATCCAAACTCACTTTATATATCAGCTCGGGCAATTCTTTGATACTTCAAGCATAATGATGGGGAGTTCACCAAGGTTTGATATGTACGGGAACGAATTTGGACTGGGAAAAGCATTGGCCATTCGCAGTGGATATGCAAACAAATTTGATGGGAAAGTGACATTATATCCAGGAATTGAAGGTGCGACAAGCATGGACTTGGAGATCTGCCTTCAACCACATTTCATGAAAGCCCTTGAATCTGACCAAGAGTTTAGGGATACAGCATGCTTCTAACTTCTCTGATTCTGTAGCTCTGAAAGAAGTGGCTTTAGATTGACGAAGATCAGTTTTCTTTCCCTTAAAATAATTGGATTTAAAAGTCAAAAATAATTATTAAGTTTAATAAGTCCATAAATTGTGATGAAGTCCACAAACTATTGGATCAATATGTGCGTGAATCAACATTTTTGATCACATGTTCTTCAATTCTTTTATGATTCTACCTACGTAAGATAGTGATTATTGTTCTATGAGTCATTTAACATTTGGCATGAACGATTAGGACATACAAGTTATAACACTTTGCGTAGACTAATCAAATTAGATTTATTACCAAAGTGTGATTTAAATCCTAATCACAAATGCGATATATGTGTAGAAGCCAAAATGTCACGTCTACCCTTTCGTTCTGTTGAAAGAAGTACCGAACCCCTAGATTTAATTCACACCGACATATGTGATTTAAAATTTGTTCAAACTAGAGGAGGTAATAAGTACTTTATCACTTTTATCGATGATTGTACTCGATATTCCTATGTGTATTTGCTCAAAAGCAAAGACGAAGCAATTGAAGTGTTTAAACACTACAAGTTAGAAGTTGAAAATCAACTTAGCAAAAGGATTAAGGCCATAAGAAGTGATAGAGGTGGTGAATATGATTCACCATTTGAGAAATTCTGTTCGGAACACGGAATTATTCATCAAACTACCGCGCCTTATTCTCCTCAATCTAATGGTATTGCTGAACGCAAGAATCGAACATTGAAGGAGATGATGAATGCTATGTTAATAAGTTCTGGATTACCGCAAAACTTGTGGGGGGAAGCCTTGCTTTCCGCCAACTATATTCTTAACAAACTACCACATCGAAAAACACAAAAGATACCTTATGAAGTATGGAAAGGTCACAAACCTAATTATAAATACTTGAAGGTATGGGGATGTTTGG